AATATAAGTCCACAATATATATCTATATAATATAATATATATATATCATATGTATAATTATATATAATATATATATAAGGACCGGCCGAATTGGCACACATAAAGAAGTTGTGTGTTCTAAAGTATCGTAAATATTCATGTTAAAGACCCGGTAACTACACAGTAAAGAGTGTTTTGCGTATGTCATTTTTACGGACAAACTTCGGAATTTTAGTACGTCCTTTTCCTGAAATGTAACATAATATGAATTTCCTGTCCTGATAAGTCACATTCTCTTCTCTTTTTTTCCTTTCTTTTTATATTTTGTTGAAAAATAAAGTTAAAACCAAAAGTAAATTTTGCTTTTAATTTATAGGTCAGCAAAAATCAAAAACTTTATGTGACTGGGACAGGACGGAAGGGAAGTTCCGTCACAGTCTACACCCTCGCTTCCTAGAGACCTGACAGAGATCAACACCGATTTACTCAGACGACGCCACCCTGACATCACCTTACCTTAATAATACTCACACGGTAAGTATCAACATACGAAATGATATTATCGTTCTCGAGGAAACTTTGGGTTTGGGAATAACACTCGCGTACTCTGGCGACAAACTACTATCAAACACTTTGGTACCGAAATCCGAAAAGAAAGGTCCTTCCTCTATAGATTAGTGAACGCTACTCGTACAAGAAGATAAAGCAAGCAGAGGTAGTGGGTAGCAATAGTGGGTTTGGCAAAGGACGACAGTGTGACGAAAATAGTAGAAGTTGGTCATCGAAAGATCTCGAGTCTGTCTTTACTTAAGACTGAAACCCACGAAGATAAAGTCCGTAACTCAAGCGTACTTTGTGTTTGCGACGAATAATAAACCGCTGGCCATATGAAGAAACGTGGAAGACTAGTCTCCTTCTAAAAAAAAAATTATAAGGGTACCAAATAGCACACACCAAAGATGACTGACAATACCCGTAACCTGGTAAATAAGTACATGTACGTTGACAATTACACATCCCAATTTCCTGGGATAATACGGAGATCGACCACTGTCAGAGGTACGAAGTTAAAGATTTTCGAGAATTAACAAGAGTACGACGACACCGACGTCGTGGAGAACAGTGCGGAGAAGACTTGTTCGGGTCAGACCCGAGACTAACCAACGACCGGCCGAGACAACACAAAGAGTTAGCGAATCTCTACAGGACGGGGACATCGGATAATGATGCTAGTTACAAACCTTATTCTTTGGCACTCACAATGTAGTACTACAGGGAACAACGCCTCTCATTTGTTATCTCGGGTTACCTCCGGTAAAGTCCTTTACACCCTCTCTTTGAGGGAGACCTCCCTTGAAAACCCTGAATCCCCCGGGGGGACTCAACTGGTATACATGTACGTGTGTTTGTACGCATAAATACACGTACAACACATAACGAAACAAAAGCCTATTAGATTTACTCCAATTAATAATACAAACACTATGACGGGGAGGTCTCTCTTCTGTGTCACACCCAGCGGATACTTCGTCGGAGGTGGAGCGGGAAGGGGCACAGCCCGTCCCTTGGCCGTCGTCACCCGGCCCAGGGAACGACCCGAGCCCGAGACGTGACCCTCACCGTTGACCTCGTAGGCATCGGTGGATTGTGTCGACTAGGTCAAGGATAGGAGGAGTCGCGGAGGCGGGAGGAGGTTAGGGTTTGAGGGTTTGGTCGGTTTCTCTTCGTCGGTGTCCGTAAAGTCGCTTCCGGGGGAAACGGTGGGAAGTCCTGCGGGGCCGACTGTCTACATTGCAAAATGAGAATGTGGACATACTCAAACAAATATCCCAAAACTTACAGTGTAAAAAGTGCCCCGACTTGACTACTTAACAAATATAGCATTATCGTTAAAACTTTCTAATGTCGGTGATAACATTAAATTGACTGAGAGTTACTTGACGAGAACACTTAAATGAGCCGATATTTTTCAATTAAAATCAAACAACCGGTTTGCTGTGTTTCATGTTAGAGCCCACACGGAACAATTATACGGGAGAGCCACCGTCATGTAAATGTGAACCTGTGTTTAACGAACACCCTGATTCTTGGTGTTCGTCGTGTTGAAAAAATTAATCTTTATCTCATCCGACGACTGGAAACCCTGCACAAAAGTCCATGTATTTGGTATGGAATCAATACATAGGACCGGTGTTAGATCGGTGAGCTGCAGTGTGCAGGTTTACAACTTATTTTGTGAATATTTTTGAACACAAATTGTAAATAACGTGTCAAAAAAGACTAAAAGTAATTTACAAGGAAGTTGAACGAACGAAAACTACTAACAAAGATAATGATACAAACACTCCACAAGACATTATATAAACAACACTTAACAAACAGCAAAGGAGTAGTACGGCACACCTACGCATTTTTACTTCACGACACATATATAACCAACCACACCAACAACAAACAAGAGGGTAAGTAAAACACACATAAGAGAAGATACACAAGCACACGGCGCACCTCCGAACCAGGATAACTTATAACACACACCAAAAAACAGACGAACACTCACACATAATTACAGAGCAGACACCACAATATCACTTATATACAAACTAAGTACAATCTTAATAAAAAAGAGGGTCAGGGGAGTAATGACACGTGTAGACAGAGGTTAGGTACGCAGAGTGGCCGAGGCACAAAGATCTGGAGACCGACAAGACAGCGACAAACGACCAGACACAAACACCGGCCGCGGAGAGAAACAGAGAAAAGAGGAAGGAGTGACGCGACAAGACAACCGACAGTTCCCACCTCTCTGCCCACGTAGACCCTCCACCCACTGAGGAGCAGTCGATTCGACCCCAACGCGTCCCGCGGGCCAGCCGCACGGGGTCCGGTGGTGCGAGCGGCGGAGGAGGTGTAAGGAGCGGAGATCGTGTAGAACACTCGAGGTTGTGATGGTGGTGTGGTGGAGGAGGCAGCTAGGAGAGTAGTCGGCAACACTTGGTCGGAATTGCACAGCGGAGGCTACCTGGCTTTCGGGAGAAAATAAAAATAGAAGAACCCAGTCAAAGGACATAAACGCTCGCCAGCAGGAAGTCTGTCATATACAGAGTCACAATAGAGCCGACAGGATGGATCAGGATCATACGACTGCGGTCAATTGTTCTTTACAATGTCAGTCCTACACTAACTCACTTTATTAACTAGACTAATAGTGAAGACAGATCAAACTCAGTCAAATCTAATAATCATGTCATAAATAAGACAGAGTATTATTTTCTGTCTTGATATCTGATAAAAACAGGATTTTCTCTAACAAGAGATTGGACGACAGAAGAAATTCCCAATTACCATAAGCACAAGATATTACATCTGTAAAGTGTCATGAAGAAGAAGATAGGGACTGCAGGCATTAGGAAAGACATTGTTATTCCATGTAGGATATTAACTATATAAAATGAGCATATTGATAATATTACTTTCAATTAGTACATGATACTACGTATCCATAGACAGTGAATTATATACATATACATTCATATGTTGACAGAGAGAGACAACGGAAGAGTATCTCAGACGCTCATGTTACGTACTACGGTGAACACACAAACAACCACTAACTAACAAAGGACAGACTATATAGAATACGTAGTTCTAGCGATTGTACGTTCCATTGGTCATGGAGACGAACACGCTCGTTGCCGGACATACTGACGCATCCAAAAGTTCGTATTTACCTTTACAAGGATAACAAGATAACACGTTGTACAGGTTTATAAAAAAATTCAACTTTGGTAAAATAAAGACTAGGAGGTGAAGATGTACATAAAAAAATTAAACAAGTAAATCATCCGTCATACGTAATTGGTATGAACTAACTCGTCACATCCTTTGTGTAACTCATACCCTAAAGGTTGTGTACTGTTGAATAAACCAAGACATTACTAATGTTTTTGTTGGTTTCTATACCGAGAGTCGAACGTTTGTGAGTATGTGTAAACAAATTTTTTTTAGGTTCGGTGTATACGTACAAATTCATCGCAATAATGAGTAGACCGGTAAACTGTTTTAAGGGTTGCTGCCTATTGGGCAGGACTACAATGTAACACAAGAGAATCCAACGCCTTCCGATCGTTCCGATTCAAATGATCGAAAACGAACCTGTTAAATTTTGCCGAATCGGAATCGGACGTTTAGAACTACTCTATAAGGGATCTGCGGTGAAAAAGTAGTAATATAACGTTGTGGACGACTCCAGTAGACGACGACGACGACGACGAGTCACAACGAGTATCAAGGTCTCTGAGAGGGTCGTTGATGTCTGAGTACATACCGGAGTTTAGTGACTACACTGATTCGTACAGTCTCGCAGTCGGGAATGGTACGACCTAATTGACGGAAGTTGAGTGTTTTTTTTTGTTTTTTTGTTTTTTTTTATCCGACAATTTAACACCTGTCAACTAAGACACTTTGTTCCGATTCATTTCGATGTTATTTTTGTTGACACCTCCGACAACATAAGTTCTGTCCCTTCTGTCAAAATAAATCGAGTAGTAAGAGGATAAAGACGAGCCGTTCGTCTACTCTTATTTGAATGTTTATAAACAGAGCTATATATCGACTGACTATTGATTTCCCTTGTACATTCGGTTTCAAATAAGATTTATCTTGCTAAAATATCTGTTACCGACTCGAGAGTCCCGTAACCGTCGCCTATTCGGAAATAATGCAAATAACTCGTCCTTTCGTTCACAACGAAAATTCCTTTAAGAAACTGTAAATGTTTACATCTTAACAAAAATATTGCTCACCAACACCAAGTGTTTATAAGTTACGTACGATCATAATACATCCGTATTATTCTTGGTTCCTTCAGATAGAAGAGTTTGTTATTAAGACTGGTAAAATTACGGGTTGGTCGTTGTGTAAGGAATTCGGTCGACGCCTTCTCTCGCCACGGTCCCCTGCCTCCTCCTTGCGAAACTGTGCGACGACACGCTCGTGGTTCTCGTCTTGCTCCTCTCAGCCTCTAAATTGAATGATGTGTACATATATAAGCCGCACTGGACTATAAGCCGCAGGTGTTTTAATGTTTAATTACCATATGTAAGGGTTCGTGCACAGAGGGGATTGTCGGGAAAGAGATGGCTGTTTGAGGAAGCTCCCATTTATTAACATTTCAACAAACAAGTTGCATATTTGCATAACGTATTCAAGTGTTACCATTTAGTGCAATAGTAGCTACAGAACATGTACTGTGCTGTGTAAACTGTACTGTATCACATAGCGTTTCAGACACACAAACTTTTCAACTTTCAAACTTAAACGGTGCGCTCCCAGCGCACGTACCGGCAGTGATCTACAGCAGCGGTTTTCAACCAGTGGTACGGGGACAAACTGTCTCGCTCTCGTAATGTCTGTCTGTCTTGCTCTCGTTCTGTCTCTCGTACCACTCTCGGTTCCACTTTTACTTTTGCGCGCTACCTGTCTCACTCTTTTCCGGCCTCCAGCTTTTCCTGCTGGAACCCGCCGCTTAAAGGTGGGGGTCCGCGGACCGGCCATAGAGCCCATAGAGTTAAAGGTGGTGGCCGTTAGCTGTAAAAATCCATAGATTAGCCGCACCGTTATATTAGCCGCAGCGTCGAAAAATGGGGGAAAAGGCGCGGCTTATAGTCCGAAAATTACGGTACATGTCATTTGTTACTAACTTGGCGATGTCTGCTCCGTGTTTGATGAGTGCTGTGATGATGAGCTCATGGCCGTAGCGGGCAGAGATGTGAAGGGCAGTGTTTCTGCTCCTGTCCTCGCAATCAATCTCAGCTCCTATACACAAATAAATAAAAGGGTATATCTATACAATTCTATTTAAACACTCGGGCATGAAGCAGACTGTAGGGGCTCTCACCATTTTGAATGAGGGCCTGAGAGCAGGAGAACCTTCCATGGGTAGCTGCCATGTGGAGGGGAGTCTTATCGTCCTTACTCTGCACAGATGGAGACAAGCAAAGAGAGACAAAGATAATGATTATCTGTAGAAAGTCTTCCCGAAAACTATAGATTCAAGTGACCCCTTTTAAGAGAGAAAGAGTTAAAACTCCCTTGTTCCCTGTTAAAAGATTTGACAGATCGTCTTGTTGTATTGTTTATAATTGTGTTCTGAATATTTGTTTATTTGTTTCAAATCAAGTTTCTCATAGCGGATAATAAAGGGACTCGAAAGAAGTAAATAAAGTGTGTCTGTGGTGCATGTAGATGAGAGACATTTAAGTGCCAGTGTGGGAAGATGACTCAGCTCTTACCCTGTAGTGTTCGAGATCTTAGCATGAACACAAGCTATTTGTGTTCCCCTCATGGATCAAACACACACCCACACACACTTATTCCCTGAGCAGCTTGCAGCCTCAGGGAGCCACCCCCTCCCCCTGTCATCCTCCATATGGCCTTGCATCTTGAGGCTGTGGGAATCTAATATCAGTTTTCATCACCGCTACCAAAGTGTTAGCAACACTGTCATTTCAACTTTCAACTGGACTCTCGGCAGCGTAGACACGAGGCAACAGGCTGCTTTAGACACTTCCAACTGTATCAATATAAAGCAAATACCCTCATGTTGATGTGAGCTCCGTGGGCCAACAGCAGCTCCTGACAGAGCGCCCCCTGACGTGAGGAGGAGGCAAAGTGGAGGGCAGAAAACCCCCTCTCATTTACCTAAAGAGAGGTACCAAAACAACACAATTAAAAAAACACACTATCACCAAACACATACCAACTTCCACAGGGAGACACACACACACACACACACACACACACACACACACACACACACACACACACACACACACACACACACACCTGGTTGACGTTGGCCCCTGCCTCAATGAGCTCACTGACCACCACATCCTGTCCATTGTAACAGGCTAAATGGAGCGGAGTGTTGCCGTAGCCGTTTATCTCGTTGACCTACGCAAGAAGAGAATCAATGTTAAGCGTTTGATTAACTTGACTAACTGATATTGACACCGTATTAAAAATAGCTTGTATATCTACGGTTAAAGATTCAGATTTGTTAAAGCGTCATGTCACAAATCAAAGCAACCCCTACACATTTATGATCTGTGTATTCATTAGTTACTACTCCCGGGTTGCCTTGAATTTTTAAAGAAAGTTGTGTTTTCGTCACATGGCTCCGTAAACAGGGAGTAAGTCTAGATACATTTAAGTAACATATCTTTTTTATTGCATATGTTTGGCAAGAAAACATTTTCCAAATTGGCATCAATAAAGTACATCTTATCTTAAGAAGTGATCATGTGACTGAATGTGAGAAAAACTACATTTTCTTTAAGAAGTGAAGGTAACACTAGTTAAACAAAAGGTCATTTTGCAGGTCATTGCTGATGCAGATGTGTGTGTGTGTACTGACGTGGACCCCCAGGCTCAGCAGGTAGTGCACGGTGCTGCTCATGCCACTGGAGGCGGCTGCATGGAGCGGAGTGTATGCTTTTTTGTCCTTGCAGTCCACCTCTGCTCCACTGGCCACCAACAACTTCACCACCTCCAGGTGACCTGAAACAGAGACGAGAGGGGGGGGGGGGGATGATATGAGGCACATTTAACTCGAGACCTGTTCATTTCACTATGTACTATTTAGGGAGGGGAAAACTAGGGACATGGAAGCACATGGAATCTTTTAAACATGCTCCTGGATCTATTTTTCATATGGCTTGTCTATTTTGTCATTTTATTTTTTCGTTTATTCTGTAAACAAGACATTTGATGTATAGCTCTACATCCTGGGAGAGGGTCCCCTCCTCAGTAGCTATACATTTTTTCATCTATACATTTCTTTTTGGTTCTTTCCATTTTAGCTTCAAGGGTCTTAGGAAAAAGGGCCATATAAATAACATCTACATAGGTTTTGATAGAGTCTCTATCTTGTCTGAACAAAGGTATGAACTTTGAACTTAAAGCTGAACTTCGAGGTCTCACCCATGTAGGCTGCCCAGTGGATGGCCCTCCTGTCCTTCTTGTCGAATGCATTGATGTTGGCTCCTCTAGACAGCAGCAACTTCACCATCTAATCACACAAACTCAAATGAACCAGGTGCTGACAGGAATATGTGTGTGTCTGTCTGTGTGTTGACAGGAGACCCACCTCCACATGTCCACTGAAGGCCGCGTGGTGCAGGGCGGTGCGTCCCGCCCGGTCAGACACGTTGACGTTGCTAAGCAGCGGGACCAAAGCCTCGGCGCAGCGCACTGCCTTGTTGCTCGCGGCAACATGGAGCGGCGTCTGCCAGTTCTTGTCTCGGCCGTTTACATCCGCACTGTGCTTCAGCAGCATGGCCACTGCATTCTGGGTAAGAAAGAGTGAGCGTGCGTCAGAGCTTGCAGACAGAGGGATTATTTTGTTCCACTATGCCTCAGTGCACTGACGGAGTACATGCCAGTGTGCGCAGGTGGACATAAAAGTCTTTGCTATTCTTAGGGGGCTTCCATGCCGACAATAGCACTGAAAAGGAGAGCAAGAGGAAGGGGCTCTGGCTGTTTGGGCATGTTGCCTGGCACCAAGCAGAATAGGTGAACAAGACATCTTTACTCTGTTGATATAATTATATGTACATATGTATACTGTTCATTCTTATCTTTTATTTTATTTTATTATTATCATTATTATAGTTTATCTCGTGTTATGCCTGTTTACATGGTGCTGCTGTGACAAAAAAAAGGATAAATAAAGTATATCTAATTCTAATTTCTAGTTATTATAAAGATATTCTATCTGGTCTGCCAGTTGCTACACTAAACAGTGTTTTCTGCCACCACAGTGGTTTCAGTGAAATGAAAGCAGAAGTCATTCCTGCATTTTTGTTACAGTGGTCATGTCAGTGGATATCCCCCTCAGTATCAAAAGAGAAAAGCTGTGATAACCTCATTGTGAAACAAACATAGTCACATGATTAGTGGACTTACTACAGCACACATTAGCACGTTTGTTTGTGTAATTTGTTACCTCGCTACAAGAGGCGACAGCTCGATGAAGAGGAGTCAACCACTTGTTATCTTTGGCATTAACTCTGGCCCCTAGACGAGAGGAGGGGAATGAAGAAGAGAGATTGAGGGAGAGAGAGAGATGGTTAAGATGTGTCAACAATACCGGACACAGCCAAGGCAAACACGGTAACAAGGTTTAATCATTTTTCAAGTGACTTATGGGAAGGGGGTGTTTTAAGGCAACGGTGACTGGCAGATATAACATCTCCATGACGCTCTTTGGCACAGCTTGGGGGTTCAAATAGCTCTGAGGTTGCTGCACCTGTTACTCTCTCTCCACATTATTGGGAAACAGTGAACACACACACACACAAGCGTACACACTAGCTTGTATAAAGGTTGGACCCACTTCCTGACGTGCACAACTGACCTAACAGAGAGCCAAGCCAACATCTACCCTATCAAATGATTTATAAATCACCAAGAGAGGGTGACAGCCTAAGAGGAGACAGCGAGAAACATGTGGGGTAGAGAGAGGTGAGGGACAAGCAGTGGCTTTAAGGAACGCATGGTGGGATATTTGGTATTAAAACTCATACCTTGTGAAATGGAAAAATGACGATACATTTGTTTCCAGCTTAGTTTGACCTGGTTCAAATTTTAAAATAGGGCAGACAATACTTTGGTTTAAAACATTTCCTGGGCCATAAACATTTACATACAACATTTAATCACTCTAAGGTGCTGACAGGTAATCGGTGAAACTTAAAATAGTCAGACCCTAAAATGTTTTTTTTACAATTCAAATATTTGATTTGCAGACTAACGCTGTGTGAGTATTATTAATAAAAGAGAGTTTAAATATGCAAAGGAATGACTACACATAAGTGCATTTTGGAGCACTCTTATAGATGGATAGAAGCAAAAACAGGACCAGGTGGATGCACCTCGGGATGAGCAAGCTATTGATACTATAGGTTTAAAGATTTGAGGTGGAAATTGAATCGAATGGATGGCTGAATGGATTCAAAGCTGGGCTTTAGTGTTTACCTGAAAGGATGAGCAGCTCAATAATCTCAGTGTCTCCCAGGTAGGCTGCAGCGTGCAGAGGCGTCCTCTTCTCGTTGTCCTGATCCCAAAATACAGAAAATAAATTCAAGCATGTTAATAATATCTCCTTTTCACACGCGGCCTCGCCTTGCTCACACATCATGATGAAGCATGCCACAAACAGAATCTTCAGATAGATCACACTGCTGCAGAGTGACCACAGGAAACATGAGACTACAGCCACAGGGGACACATGTCCATCCTGTGATCACTTGTCCTCTTTACTTGGCTCCATCAGTTTCTCCATCGATACACAAAGCCGCCGCACCCCATCTCTCTTTCTTTCAGTGCAGTAGGGAGCAATCAACAGAGTGGGGCTAGCCTATAAACAAATGTCATGTGACTGTAAAAGGTCTGGGCCAATAATGCTGACTCAAAGAGATTCAGTGTGATGAGCCCAGCACTATAGAATGACAGATGGACAGAGAGAAAAACTATGAAAACACAAGGTGTAAACTGAGGAAATACATTCTGAAAGATTATTGACAGAAAAACCAAACAATGGGAGGAATCAGGTTGAGGTTACGACCTTAAGCAAAAGGAAAAGGAGGTGCCCTGCCTTGATTGACAGCTATATGAAATGGGTAAGCAGCCAGAAGGCACTCTGGGTCAATCGATCAATCGGAGCCAGCTAGCTTACTGCTGCTCTCCTGGGGGTCTGATATAAGTCATGGTGTGTGTATGTGAAGCAAGGGGGGGGAAAGCAAATACACAGGGGAAACAAAAGCATTAACATTTGGATACAAATCAGGGAAGAAGAAAGTGACTTACCTGAATGTTGACATCCTCTTTCTTGAATATGAGGGAGCGAACTTCATCTGTGTCCACGTTGAAGATGGCTCTTAACAGCGACGTCTAGAGGCAAGGGGAGCACATGTTAACGCTGATGTAACTACTACTATGTACTCCATTTGCAAGGCAGTCATTTTCTATGCTGACAACCGTGTTATCAGTGAGAGTTATGAGAGTTACAAATGGGAGGGACTAAGACACAGACCCTATAATCCTGAGCTGCTGGAGAGACATAGGTCACAAAATGGCTGTACATCACCTATTTGTTTATGACAGTAGCAGCTGCAGCATATATCACACACACACACACACACACACACACACACACACACACACACACACACACACACACACACACACAATGTCTGTGAAGGGTTAAAGCTGAACCCTCTTGCCATGATACATAGCACATATCAAGTCAATTGTCATATTCTAATTGTACTCATTTGATCAATTTATAATGACTTCATTTTTAATTCTATAATAGTTCTATATTTGCTCTTTTTTTCTATTTATTTCCTCATACTGTGTTTCTGTGGGCACCATTACACATCAAAGCAAATGTGTTGTATGTGTAAACTTATGAGGCAATAAACCTTATTCTGACTGATGTGATGCAAGGCTATCTGATAAGAATGTAAACAGCAGTGGAGATAAACAAACTAAACAAGTTATACAGACATACTTTTTCCCAGGAGGAAGAAGCTGCAAATAAAGGACGCATTATACACACAGGGAAAACCTCTCATACTATTTCATTAAAGTACATCCGTGTGTGTAAATGTTGGCACAAGCAAGAGAGCGTGGTGCCTGACACTGAGTGGGATTAGTTTACAGAGCAGTCATCATAAACCTTTAAGAGGTACCGATGGTCAACAGAAGACCATTCAGATTTAAGCTAAGGAAACAATGCCATGCTACGCTCATGATTTGAAATGTACAGTTGTGATGTTTTATATTTGTGATTCATTTACTGTCCTTGTGTAACTTTAATTTGATCTTAGATAAAAAAATGGAAGCTTAAACTTGAGGTTACAAATGAAAGTGAAACATTTATGACACAACTTTGGCCCACAATTTAAAAACGTATAAACTTTGACTTTGTTACATAGAACCCTTTAAACTATGAAAACATGTTGAATACAGCACACCGCTGAAGTTTGCATTTACAATATATTAAAACTTCACCACTATAACATGCTAGTTTCTGTGATAAGGAATTAAGGTCACAATATGTCACTAAGATCTCAGCTACAAATGTAATAACACTGCACTCTCCTAACTTTTATTATCCGATATCTGTGTCAAACATTTTCAATATGTTTGGATAAGTAATTCATTTGAGGATTTTAACAAGGAAATACGATTGAGCATACGCAATTTACTGCGAGCAGTGCTTTTCTTTATGCTGCATGTTATTGAGAATACAAAAATACAAACCATAAGAACGTAGGGGACGTATGGAAACCCTTTCTAAATGACAATATATTGCCCTGCCATTTCCTCATTTGCAGTCTTTCAAGTACTGTGGGCCGCGTGATATTATTTGTCACATTTAAACAGTGTCATACAGCAATGGCTGCCAAGTTGAACCTTTCAGTACTATGTGTACTATGATGCCGATATGCTCCTAACTCTCAGTTTTCCCCATCCCTCTCTCATTTCGTCCCAACTAAAAATAAGTGGGGCTGTCAGGCATGTCGGCATCCGTCTCATGCCTATTACACTGATGACTACTGCACATGTCACGGATCCAGGAAGGTAAACTTGGACTAAGAGCACAAACTGTCATCAGGGCCGGCTTATCCTCCTGTCTGGCTTCCTTTGTCAGTGTGAACTTCAAAGAACAGCTTTCATACGATGAAAAGCCTCAATACAATTTTTAAATTGAATGCTCGCCCTTTATAAGCCACCAGTGGACACTACAAAGGCTTAGGCCTAGATAATCTATACAAACCAGCAGTCATCTCACATGGCAGGCTATATTGGTGATTGTGTTTGATGCTATATTTAGCCCAGGATGACAAGTGTTGGCTGTGCTTTGTATTTGAATACAATGGGACTTCATACATACTTCAGCGCAGGTCTGAACTTCAGTCCAGGTAGGATAAGTGCTTTGGTTAGTTGAAAACCTAGCCGAGTGTTGTCATTCGCAAAAAATAAACTGTATATAAACCTTAAAAATGGCTCGCAGACTGAGCCAACTCTGATTCAACCAATGAATAACTGGACCGAAGGACCCGCCTCACCTTGTCCTCCTGAGCGGCTGCCCTTCGAGAGGCATGATGGGATCTGCGTTCTGGGGATGATTTGGGCCGGGGAGGTGGGGGTGAAGAGGAGGTCTCATCCTCCTCCACCTCCTCCAGCACCACGATACACACACGACTAGCCCGCTCTGACCGCATCAGGAACAAACACCGACACAATCACTCACACACTCTCTCTCTCACACACAGACATAAATACACCGTGTTCTCTTTTACATCCGAGCGCAATTCAGGTGCACAAAGGTCAGCAATCAATCCCATAAACAGAGAGATTCCCTTGTAACCAAACACTGCACATCTTCATGTAAAATCCAATATGAAATCCAGCTCTGTCCTCCATCAGCCAGTGTTGCTTTGATGCATGTCTCCTCTGTCTTGTCCTCCTCTTTCCAGCCAACACTCACTCTGTGTGAGCGGCAGTAGCAGAGACAGCAGGGAATTCCTCTACGTAATGGTGGCGGTAAGCGGCATGCGGCAGAATGAGCTTGGGCTGCCTAGCAGCGCAGAGGAAGCTACATATCCTCACTGCTGTGCTGCAGCCAGGAACACACACACACACACACGTCAGATGCGGACACACACAGAGACCCTGTGATCAGCGTGGACGGGGGCCGCAGCAGCCAATGCATGTGTGGGTATGAGTCGCTCGTTTCAGGCAGACTGCTGAAGCCAGCTCTTTCAAATGAGGAGACAGAGAGAGGGAGAGGAGGGGGAGGGGATAGAGAGGGAGAGGGAGAGAGAAATGAATGGAATAGGGAGGAGAGTATGAATAGAAGAAGAGAGAAGGATGGAATAACTGTAGGCAGGTAGTGCACTACAAAACACACAGAAACCTGAAGATGAATGGAGCAAAGGACAAAGGGGGCAAGGGACAGAATCAGGGGCAAACTGGTTACAGGAAATAAACTATGAACAAAAAACTATACAAATAGAGAATGTAAATGTCCAGAGATTAAGAGGAAGTCATAGATCCAAGAGATAAAAGAGGAGAATGAGTGGCAGGAGAAACGAGAAAAACTGGACTCTGGTTTATTGCGTGTTATCAGGTGAAATGGTCAGGGCTGTTCTACGACTTCCCGCTGACTTCATTAAAGTGAAATAATAAAAGTGTAGGTGGAGTGAAGATGCTACGTCAGAGAATGATGATGCAGCACTATTGATTCCTTTTTGAAAGCCCTGCTGCCTCCAGGAGCTACAATCCGCCTGGATAGCTCAATGTTTACCTTTGCATTGAGATCTTCTGATCCTTGTTTTTGTATGTTTAGGAGTTCATTCACTCAATAAGGCTCTGATATTTGCTATTGTACATGACATACATACTGCGAAGAACTGAAGGTCTATATTCTACTCAATGGCCAATATAGAAAGTTCTAACCCACAAAGCTAAACTAAACCATGTGCACAACAGCTTTGTTTTGAGATTGTGCTTAATTAAATGTTCGTGGTTAGTGGTCTGCTTCTTCATGAAGTTGGTGCAAAAATAGAAGCTGCCTTTCTTTCTAAAAGTAGAAGAGGATAGCAGAGAAGATGTGTGTTCTAGTGTCTTCTTTGGTGGCATGGCATCAAAAGTCCCCATCTCCCCTCATTATAAATCTGGAACAAACTGGCTTTGCCAAAATATGCGAGGGTAGCTAACAAGACCAGTCTGTACGTGCATGTTTCAGTCTCCTTCATATTCAACTCAGATCCTAAAAAGAGCAATCTTGCCAAGCCACACAACCCCATTAAATGTGGAGGGAGGGAGGGACAGTGCAACCAAGGGCGAATGAGAGGGAGCCATTCAGTGGGATGGAGCCTTTCTGCAGGGCGAAATTCGGAGTCTAATGGGCTTACCATTTATAAACATAATAGGAAACACAGTCTTACAATCGTTCTGCTCCTACAGCAGCCACTGAGTTGACATTCTAGATCTGCCTCAAAGGCACAAAGAAAAGATGTTTGGGGAAAGAAGAACATAAAGTTTAACAAACAACCAATGTTTTTGTCTATCCTGCACTGGGGATAGTTGCAGGAACGTAGCCCGCAGATGTTTATAGAGCAGTTGGTTATCATTTCCTAAACAGAAATGAGCAACTTGTGTGAGATGTGTGTGTATTTACGTGTGTTTAAAGTTGTAATCATAACTGAAGAGCGGGATCAAGCAAGGCTAACATGTGGAACAGGCCAGGATGTAAACGTTTAAATGAAGTACAAAGTGATCAAGACAAACTGAGCATCCCTAAACAGAACAGCGTGACAGCATGGCAACAAGAAGTGACAAATCCATTGTGTGATATTTCTGTTACATTAATGCTGAGCTGGTGCTCCTACAGCAGGGAGTCAGTGGGAAAACACACACAAGGTGAACCGGATCTCACCGCAACAAGAGAATGCATTATTATCACACATAACCACAAATACAATGAAAATGCAACCCCTGAGCTTTACGTCATGTGAGAGAGATACCCAACCTGAACGTGGCAATGTGCATGTGTACGCAAGAGAGTATGCAGCTTTCACTGACCTCTGATCTGTCCCTGAGCCAGGGTGCACTGTGTGTAATATAATCCCAGTCCCCAAACACAAAGGCCAGCATATACGCAGTGCGTGCGTGCGTGCGTGCGTGCGTGCGTGTGTACTAGCCAAAGACTGCAAGAGTGCCGATGTGAAAATCTAGAGATTTAAAAGCTTTTAAAATCAAGAGAGGGGTATCTGTACTAAAGCTTTGTTGTCCTGACCAAACTTGTATGGTATGCACACCACCGCATGCTCTTCATTAAATGCTCCGACTGAACGGCCAACGGTTGATGAGTCATTCACATTATGTGGTTCTGAAATGATATAACTCAATTTGAATGCACCATAATAGCCTGACACAAAAGAAATATTCATATCAGACTGTGAAAAAACAATTCATGTTTCTCTTAACTCTTAACTTTTCAGTCATACACATATTTTATTTATAGTTTATTTTCTATTACTTTATTACTATACTACTATATGGAATCTAAAGATAAAGGATATTGCTTAGTGTAGTATATTAGCAATTCAAAATACCAAAGACAGATCTTAAATAGTAAGTCATTTGTTTTTTGATTAATTGAAGACAGGCAAAGTTTTCTGACGCTTAATATTTGAATAAAAAACAGTACAGGTAAAAAAGAAAAAAGACTGTTTTCCCATTGGTTATAATAAAAGCATTTTCAAAACTATTCTTTTTAAAGATGCCTTTTATATGATTCTATCCCAGGATGTGACATCAATGGTTGTTGTTTTATATCTAGTCTCTACCATCTCTCTCTCAGGCAGGACCATAGCTTGATACTGTGCATGTTCCAAAGCTACAGGACGCCCTCTAGAGGACAAACACAAGCCTTTGCTAAAGGTTACCCTCGCTCCTGTCCCTCCAAGTGGGACTACATGTGTCCTTTAGCCTAGTTCTCTGTCAACAGAGAACAATGGAGAATAGCGAGGGTGATCTCATCGCATACTCTTCCGTCTTTTGCTTGCATGTCCGGAAGATTGGTCAGCCCAGGACAGAGCTGCACCATCGTTGACACATTTTGACTGAAGTTCATATTTTCAACCAACTCTTATTTCCCAGATTTATAAAACAATGTTTTACTGTAAGCTAAACATTCAGGCCAATAACAAACAAACAAATAACAGGATCTCCAACCAAAGCACTGGTTTGACTATGAACTTCGACTAAAAGCTTGAAGTTGTTTCCATGTTTTATTATCTAATTATTATTATTATTATTATTATATATATATTGATGGATAATTTTGTTTAAAACGTAATAAAACAGTGTACAGTTTAATAAATAATGACAAATGCCTGTCACAGCTTACAAGACTAAATATTTAGTCGTAAGTAGTAGTAAGCATGTTATTTGAGCATAAATTGACTTGTGTGACCAAAACAAAATGTTTATTTCTCTACTGGTTCATATGCCCACTGCCATGTCTTAACTGCATTAATGTCCCAGCGGTGTTTATAACAACTGATTTAAGCTTGTGGAAAATGTCTAATTCATGACCGCAGCTGGAGACGCTGAAACCAGTCTATGGTTGAAATTAGCACCAGCTGCTATTTCAGTCCGACAGCCTTTCTTATCTCCAGCAACAGGTGACTGCCAACAGCTGCCCCTGACAACATGTGCAAGGAGCTGAAACAGACAGCTGACAAAGCAAACTCGCTGGAAATCAGACAGTTAAATCGGTACTATGCAATCTAAATGGTGATAATAGGTTTCCAGTGGTGTAAAGTAACTAAGTAGATTTACTCAAGTATTGTACTTAAGTAAACTTTTGAGGGACTTGTACTTTACTTGAGAATTAAAAGTGTTTGCTTGCACTTCTACACGATTACCATTCAGAGGTGAATAGTGTACTTTTGCAAATTTGGATTAATAATGTGAAATATAAACAACCCTTAAATAAGACTTAAAGTTGCACATTCTCAATCTAGCATACAACATAATGCAAATTAGCTGCACCTTAACAAGCTTTGATTAACACACGAATGCACCAATAAGTATACTCACATATAATATATTATTATGAAATGGGCCAGTTTGCATAATGAGTACTTTTACTTTTGGTACTTTAAGTATATTTTAATGCACATACTTTGTGCTTTTCTTTGAGTAACATTTTTGATTACAGGACTTGTACTTGCAACAGAGTATTCTGAGTACTTCTCCCACATCTGCCTACGGGTTGCCATAACACAAGTTGCTAACTAGCATTAGCAAGGGAGTTAGCCACCCTGATAACCTGGTAGCTACCCAGCTGTGTTAGTCCATCTCTAGAAACAGCAACAATAAGCCAACAGTTAAAAGCACCGGGGAAAACTGAAAAACGACCGCGTTATCATTGATTTCTAACAATAGTAGTAGTTTAAACCGTAATAAATAAACGTAAGGTAACATGTTACACGAAATTAGCCAAGTTCTTACGTTAACTTGTTGTATGTAAGTGGTTACCGTTAGCTATTAAGCTAATATGTCAGTGGAGTTAGCAACTTAAAGAACGTTAGCAACATTAGCCGTTAAACCTATATATTTAAAATGCCATGTATACAACTGGTCTAAGTCACCATGAATACACGTCGTTGATTAATGTTAATAAAGTTAAACTCAAATGAACAGTCATTACGACATGGTGTTGACTACACATAAACACTCGCACAAGTAGTAATCTGTTTACAAAAAGTGACCAGCTAGTAATTAACGTAACATGTGAGCTAGTAATATGACGTTACCTGGTCTTGTATCTTCAACACAGCCATATTCCCCAGAGTAAATCCAAAGGGAGGCAGTGACTCTCCCGGGGAGTTACTGTACATTAAACCGGGAGAAACTGAATAAAGGAGACTCCGGAGCCAAACCGTGCGGCTTCCCCCCCTCTTCCTTCCTGCCGTGGACACAATCACCACATCATGGGTCAGATATGACAAAACTGGCAAGTTGGGATCAAAACACAGCAGTCAACCAACTGCACTCCTCAGTAAAACACTCATAAACTCACTGATTGGCTGGGAGGACAGTCCATTCAAAAGTAGTGTTAAGCCCATACATGACCAGCATTGCCATTGACATTTTAAGCAAACT